ACACTGCCTTGATTACTGTAGCTTTAGAGGAAATCTGAAAATTAGGTAATAAACTTCTTCCAACACAGTTTTTTTTCTTTTTACTTTTCTAGGTCCTTTGTACTCATACATAACTTTTAAATTTCAATATCCAATTCTTCATTTATAGCAAGTATATATAGACCTGAATTTTTATATATACCTTGTGTTTTCTAATCCTGCTAAATTCAAATATAAGTTCTAGGGGCTCCTAGAGATGTCATAATACTTTCTCTGTAGATGATCATTTCATCTACATATAAAGATTTTGCTTCTACCTTGCCAATCCTAACCTAATTGTGTCATTTTATTGCCAGACTATTTTGATTTAGGCCTATGTTTCAAAGTTTAATGGACAGATGAAGAGTAGGCATATCTGCCCTTGTTCCTCACCTTAGGGAGAAAGCATTGTATCTTCTTCATTCATATAAGGCATTTTTGCTGGAAGTATGGAGTACATGTCTTTAATCTGTTGAGAAGGTTCTGTTCTACTTCTAGTCTCCTGATAGCTTTTACCATGAATAGCTGTACAATTTAGTCCAATACTTTTTCTCCAACTACTGACAGGACTATATGGCTTTTTCCTTTCCTCTGTTGAAAGGATGACTTTTGGGGGTGGATCTTCCAATGCTGAACCAACACTGCCATCCCTATAACAAAGCCATTTTGTACATACTGCCAGATCTGACTTCTAATAGTTTGTTTTATTAAACAAATTTCTATCTATGTTCATACTATTTTCTTCTATTATCTTTATCCAGTTTTAGTATTACCACAATGTTGATTTTCTAAAATGAGAAGAGAAGTGTTCCTTTTTTTTCTGCTTTAAATGTTTGATATAATTTATCAGTTAAAATGTGTATGAGCCTATTGTCATATACGTAGGTTTTCAAGCTAGGAATATACTTTCTTTAATAGGTGCTATTCAAATTTTATGTTTCCTCCAGAGTTAGTTTCATTAATTTGTCTTCCAAGGTACTTCTTAGAAGTTGTCAAATTTATTTCAAAACAGATTTTTTTTGAGGGGGGTGGTACTGGGGATCGAACTTGGGTCCTTGCGCTTGTGCAGCAGGCAGCGAAACCACTGAGCTAAATCCCTGGCTACAAAACAGATTTTTGTAATATGCTTTCGGTATCCTTTTAAATTCTGTAAAATCTGTGATAATGTCTCCTAGATCTTGATATTGTAATTTTTAAAATGTATAATTGATATTGTATAATAGAAAGTAAAGGTCTAAAGGAGCAGGGGAAGTGGGAAGGGTAGGGGAAAGGAAAGAAGGGAAAAGAAAAAATATAAGAAAAGGAAAAAAATGGAAACAAAGTCTTTGCAAATAGGGAAGGGTGGAGGGGGTGAAGGGAGGGCAGGGGAAGAGGGAAAAAATAAGAACCAGGAGAGATTATGTAAAGGTGCAAATTTCCAAAGATGAATGTCATTATATTGTTTACCTAAAATGTACCAATAAAATTAAGTTTTTTTAAAAAAGATAGACTATAGGGAACAGGAAGGTAGAATTTTTGCAAATGAGAAGGGGACCTAAAGATGGAGGGAAAGTGGAGGAACAGAAAGAAATGAAGAAAAAAGGACTAAGCTGCTATATGTATATGTACCAACTCCCCACAATGAATGTATTCATGGGGCCAGAGATTTAGCTCAGTGGTTCCCCCGCCTGCCTCACAAGTGCAAGGTCCAAAGTTCCATCCCCGGCACCAAAAAAAACAAAAACAAAAAAACCCCCAAATGAATGTATTCGTTATATATTACAAACATGTACTAACAAATTTTTTAAATTAAAATAAATTTTTTGAAATTTTCAGGCAAGTTCTTGCTAGATCATTAAATTGCTCAGACTGGGCTCCAATTGAAAATCCTCTTGCCTCAGCCTCCCAGAATGCTGGGATTATAGGTATATGCCACCATATATATATATATATCACATCGTGTCTGTTTCCTTCTTCTCTCCTACTCCTACATTTTCACATTTGTCTTATTCACAGAGCCCAGACTGCAGTGGCTCTTTCTTACTTTCAATCCCATATCCCTGGAGAAGGACTGGGGTGATGCAGCTTGGAGCAGTTGTAGATTCCTGGACCAACCAGGCACGAACAGGGGTCAGGGTCATCCAGCAGAGCACAGCTTCTGGACTCCATCATTGGTGGGAAAGCCAGTACTCAGGAGGAAGTGCTTGGCAGATCACCCTGTAAGTTTTTTGTGTTTTTTTTTTTTGGTGCCGGGGATTGAACTCGGGACCTTGCACTTGTGAGGCAGGCGCTGGAACCACTGAGCTAAATCACCAGCCCCCACCCTGTAAGTTTTGACAAAGCAACACTGCCCTGCAGGGGCACCATCCTTCAAAGCTGGGCTCACATGCCATTCTCTGGATGAGGGCTCGCCTAATCCTAGCCACTGAATTTGCCTAGTCCTACAACGGTCCGTACAGTTCCTAAGCACATTCAGATCTCTATTAATCCACATGGTTGTACTGCATCATGTGCCTTAGATCATGAGCACTGAGTTGTTTTATTTGACCAGCTCTTCCTCCTCCTTTCGGGAGGAGCTCTGCTCTTTGTAATGAACATCTGGATTTCAATTTGGCTCCTTGACCATCTGAACAACCTATACTGTGGAGAGATTTCTCATTTTATGGGTCCTAGTTAGGACACAGGACTTCCAGTTACGGATTTTTTTTTTTAAATGTCCATTTTCCCAACCTACAAAAGATAGCAAGTAACTGAACTAGGATTAACGAAGCAGATTAATATCCTTGGATTTAACTTTGGGGGCTGATGGCTCAAAGAGCAGGGACAGTGGCAATGGCAACAGGGCCAGAAGCAGCAGTGCCATGTGGCCCTGCAGGGTCCATAGTATTGTCACCAACATGGCCTCAGTGCTGGGCTGCAGTGACAGTGGTGCCTGCCATCCCAGTTCTTCAGGTGTTTTGGTGGTGGCTTGCTTCTGCCTATTTTTATATTTCACATTCTCCAGCTTTCCTGGTGGTGCAGTGGCTACCCAACATTTTCCCCATAAATACTCCTCTTAAATCACCGGAATTGTATTGTGCTGCTTATAACCAGAATCCTGACTGATAGTGTTCATCAGCTTTCTGCTACCTAATAATTACTTGAGATAATCAACTTAGAAGAAAAAACGTTTATTTTGGCTCAAATTTTAAGAAGTTACAAGACCATTGGCCCTGCTGCTTTGGGGTGTGGTGGCTATCATGGCAGGAGCACCTGGTAGAGCAAAACTGCTCACCTCTTGGCCTGGAGGAGAAAAAGAAAGAGACAGGAGCTCTATAACCCCCTTAGAAAGCGAGTGTCCAATAACCCAAAGACCTTTCCAGAGGCCCCATCTCTGTTTTCAGTACTAAAGATTGAACGCAGGGCCTTCTCTCCAAGTAAAATCCTCAGCCCTTTTTAATATTTTGACAGTGTTTTACTAAGTCACTAAATTGCCCGGACTGGGCTTGTTCTTGTGATTCTCCTGCCTCAGTCTCTCAAGGTGTTGAGATTACAGGTGTGTGCTACCACACCTAGCTTCAGCCTCACTTCTGAAACCACCTCCCAGTAGTGCCACCCTGGGGAGGCAAGCCTTTACCATGTGAATCTTTGAGAGATAACCCAGATCCAACCTGATCTGTCCGTTTGGGGGAAATGCTTCTCCTTCCTCATTGTTATGTGTTAGGAAGGAACACTTAACTCCCTGTTCATATATGCATGTCAGTGGAAGAAAACCCCTAACCTCTCTTCCTAGTCCTCATTCCTCCCCCCAAAAGGATGGAGCACCTCATCTGATTAGTGAATGTAGCAGTCAGTATAAACTAGGTAGTGCTGTGGTAAATAAACAAAAAATACTTCAGAATCTTAGTAGCTTATAAGAGCAAACATTTCTTCTGCTGCTCAAGCTGTGCATTATTTGTTGTCTGTGGGTTTGTTTGGGTTTTTTTCTACTGGAGACTGAACTCAGGACCTTCACACTGAACTACATCCTCAGCTCTTATTTTTATTTTTTATTTTGAGATGGGTCTCACTAAATCACTAAATTGCCCAGGCTAGGTTAGAACTTGTGATCCTCCTGCCACACCTCCCAAAGTGCTGGAGTTATAGGTATGTGCCTGGCTGGGTTTTTTTGTTTTTTTTTTCCAGAGCTAGCAATTAAACCCATTGCTAAGGATTGTTCTAATAAGGTACATCCCAGGTGTCATAGTGACTTTTCTCTTGTTGGGACAAAATACCCGACACCCAAAGTTAAAGGGAAAAGGGTTTATTTAGCTCACAGTTTGTAGAGATTTCTGTCCATAACTGGCTGACTCCAAGACAGGATGGCCCATGGCAGAGGAGCATCACAGAGGAGAAACTAGTCGTGGTGCCCACACAACAGCAAAAGCAACAAAGGACCTTAACAGTGTCTTTCTGCCCCCTTTATCTTATCCACACTCCTGGGATTAGGCAGTGCCAAACCAATCAGTGTACTGGTTTAGTAATCATATGCCCTTAATCCCAACATCACACACTCTAGATTCAGCCACCTCTGAAAAAGCCACCTATGACAGCATGAGGCTTTGGGGGGACATTTAGACCCAAACCATAACACCAAGCCTTTTAAAAATTTTGAGATAGGTTTTCTAAATTTCCCAGGCCGACCTTAAACTTGCAATCCAGCCTCAACCACCCAAGTAACTGGGATTACATGTGTGTGCCACACTCGGCTGTCTTGCACCTCTTCTCCACACTGTCCTCATTCCAGGATGTAGGCTAATAGAACAGGTACCACAGGAAAAAGAGGGTGTGTGCCACTGGCTCTTAAAGCTCTCACCTGGCAGGGAAACCTCAGTTCTAATCATGTGTAACTGGCCAAAGCAAGTCTCATGTCTGCACCTGGCTCCAAGCAAGAAAAACTAGAACAATTTACTGAGCAGCACCGAGAGTTGACACAGTGGGTCTGGGTAGCATGTTGCATTCAGTCTCATCCGTGTCTGTTTTAGCCATCTTCTCACCCGTGGAGGACTTGTGTTCCTGTCTGTCCTCTGCCACACAGGCAAAGCTCCCTTGTGACTGAAGCAGAAGAGAAGGGCCTGATGCTCCCCGTAAGGTATATATTTAATTTTTTCCCATCTTTCACCCCAAATACCTTGCTGATGATCATGTTTACATCAGACGCCCTACACTGCTCCTCACAGGAGACTTTTGCTTTGCTTGCAGCAAGCTGCAGTCATGGGTCAATCCCAGATGACTCTCCCCTGCAGCCTCTCTGGATGACTATTTCTCTACAGCCACTTCAGATATCCTCACTCTGGTCCAGGAGGAGCTCCTGGCCTACCCATGACTGAGCAGAAAGTCTGCAGCTACCTGGCAGGACACTGCGTGTGTGGGCCTGCCTTCTATTGTCTATATGAGAATAGTGCATGTACTGCTTTCCCTTGTTCTGCAATGTAAGACCTAATAAAGCATGTTTTGAATGGTTTTATTCTACTTAAACATGATTCCTGTCTCAAGGAGAATAGGATGCACTAGTTGCCCTAAGAGCTGATAACACTAGAGACTACTAACGTGGAGAGTGGCCAGAGGCTGGGGCTGTTAACACTGAGGGTACCTAGTAGTCTGAGAAAGGCAGAACCAAACGCTCCAGCTGCTGCAGGAGTTCCAGGGAGCTTCGAATAACTGCTGGCTCAGTGGCTAGGAGAGCAGTGAGGAGGGCTGCTGACGGTAAGCACGAAGAACTGCTAACATTCAAAGCTCAGAGTGCTGACACTAAGGGAGCTGCACTTTGCCTTGTTATAATCTCTATCCAAATTGGTCAAAGGAAATTTAAATCAACTGGTAGCATGACTAGGCAAGTGAGGGGTGGATTATTAAAACTCCACCGGAAGGGCGGAGCCTCCACTGCGGCTGGGAGCAAAAGCTCAGTCTGGAGAGGGCCCTATAGCTCCCTTAAGCAGAGGGAACCAGAGACAGCTCCTCCAGGAGCAGAACACAGAGGAGACCAGCATCATGACTGGCAAGGTGGGTTCAGAGATTCACTTAGAAATCAATAATCTAAAACTCATTTCACAAGAAGAAGCAGACAGTCCGTCAGACAGTGGACAAGGCAGCTTTGAAACAATGGAGCCCTGGAGTGAAAGAGATTCAGGTGAAGAGATATTGGTGAGTAAGAAGCTGAAGAGCAGGAAGGTGATACTAGACAGTGATTCTGAAACAGAGGACACAAATGCATCTCCAGAGAAAACTACCTATGACAGTGCTGAGGAAGATAAAGAGAACTTATGTGCTGGAAAAAGTGGAAAAATCAAAAGGATTTACACAACTGCGGCTGACTGTGATGAAAATAACACAGAGGAGTCTTTGTATCAGGAAAATCCTGAAACTCAAGTGACATCTTACTTAGACCTGGGTCTCCAACCTAGAAACTCTGTGGACTTTACCACTGACAGAAAGACCTCCAAAAAAAATTTGTACATGATGAAGAAGGAATTGGAGGAAAAGCAAAACTAAAATCAAAGAGAAGACTTGAGGAAGAGGAGAGATTGAAAAGATTAGGCAGTTAAAAAAGGAAACAAAAAATGAAGAAATGATGTGGAACAGCCACTGAATGACAGTGGCTGTCTTCTTGTGGAGAAAGACCTTTGTGAAATGGGTTTGGAGGAGAAAAATAACTCTCCATTTGAAGATGAAGAATCATTGGAATCAGTAAGGGCAGCTGTGAAGAACAAAGTAAAAAAGCACAAGAGAAAAAGGAATCATCTTTGGAGAGTGGGGTCTTTTCATTTGAAGAAGAGAGTGAGTTATCAAAAAGCACCATGAAAAAGGAAAAAAGGCAGCCGGGTTAAGCAAGGAAGCATTAAAAAAAAAAAACTGCAGGGGAGGGGGATTTAGCTCAGTGGTGCTGCTCCTGCCTCCCAAGCGCAAGGTCCTGAATTCGATCCCCTGTACCAAAAAAAAAAAACAAAAAAAAAACCCAAAAAAACTGCATGGTGAGAGTAAGTGCACTTAATCTTCCATACCATATGCCTGAGAATAAAACCATTCATAGGGCCGGGGATTTAGCTTGGTGGTTTCGCTGTCTGCTGTGCAAGCGCAAGGATCCGAATTCGATCCCCGGTACCAAAAAAACAAACAAAAAAACCCAGAACCATTCATGATTTCTTCAAAAGTAAACCCCACTCCACTTGCCAGGGAAATGCCATGGCACTACTAATGTCATCTAAATATCAATCAAGCCATCATGAATCATAGACACTGCAAACACAACTGAAATGAATAGTGACCATTGTAACAAAGGTTCTGAGCAGACAAGTACAAGATGTGAAATGGAAATTAATGAACTCTGTGTGGTCTCAAAGGAACCTCACATTGCTACTGGATCAGAAGAGACTTGCATTACAGATCTGGTGAGAAGTGAAGGGCTAGAAATTTAAGAAAAACAGAAACAGAATGATGCTACACCTACGCCTGAGGATGGCTCAGTATTGCAACAAGAATCTAGCTTCTTCAGGAACATGACCAGTGAGGAATATCAGATTGGAGGGCTTGTGGCATCTGAACCTCATACCCTGAAGGGAGAAGAAGGCCTGCAAAACATACACACACACACACACACATACACACACACACAAAAAAAAAAAAAAAAACAGGAGAAACTGGAAGAACCCATGCAGCAAACTAAATCATCAGCAGTTGTGGTACCTGAAAAAGTAAGAAGGTTCACTGTGGATAGACTGAAACAACTGGGAGTGTATGTTTCCATTAAATCCTGACTGGGTGCTAATAAAGATTCCTTCGTAATACTTGAACCTACACCAACAGAGGTAGTCCTTTAAATTGTGAGCTGAAAGCTTTGAAGTAGTGTTTCAGGAAGCATGACAAGCTAGCAGCCAGACCCAGAGCTGGCCAGATGTGAGCATGAATGTCATAGTGAAAGACTAAGACGCTAATGGAAAGAAAGAGCTAAAGGCAGATGTGTCACCCATGACTTTGGTAGCTGAGAAGCTAGACAGAATGAGCCACACAAAACCAGGTGAAAAACTGCAGGTTTTAAAAGCTAAAGTGCAAGAAGCAATGAAAGAAAAGAAGAAGAAGGAGGAGGAGGAGGAGAAGGAGGAGGAGAAGGAGAAGGAGAAGGAGAAGGAGAAGGAGAAGGAGAAGGAGAAGGAGAAGCAGCAGTGAAACTCGGAAGGTTTGAAGAGCTCCAAAAGCTCCAAGCATTATTTAAATTAGACAATGAAGATGGATTTGAAGAGAAAGAAGAGGAAGAGGAAGAAATGGCAGATGAGTCTGAGGGAGACGGAAAAGAAGAGGTAGAGAAAGAAGAGGAGGAAATGAAGAACTGGAGGAAGAAGTGGAGAAAGAAGATGAAGAAGAAGAGGAAGGCAATCAGGAGACCACAGAATTCCTTCTTGGTAATGAAGATTATAGAAAGCAAAGATAAAACAAAAAACAAAAAGAAAGCAAAGATGAGAAAGAAATGGATAAAGAAAATACTGATGGCAGTAGTGAAATTGACAAGTCAGTTGACCTCTCTGTTCTCAAGTTTCTCTCATCAGATTCTACTTTACTATTTAAGGACAACTCTTCCAAATAGGTTACTTTCCTACTGAAGACAAATCAGAAAGAAATGAAAACTCTGGCAAATGACCTAGCAAGCTTGATGAAGAAGATGCATGTTCACTAACAAAAGAGAGCAGCCACGATAGCAGCTTTGAGATGACTGGCTCCTCAATTCCATCCTAATTGGCCTTGCAACAAACAGGCTGGGGTACCAGTTTATTCCCTGCTGTGGAAGGATTCAGATCTCCTTACCCTGGGCTATTTTGAGCCAGTTTGGTCAGCTTAGCTTCTAAGAGTTCAGGGAAACTGTCTGAGCCTTCACTTCCTATAGAGGATTCTGGGGATCTGTATAATGCCTCCCCAGAGTCAAAGACACTTTTCCTAGGAGCAGGAGACAACTTCTAGTTCTGTTTAGAAGATGACACTCAAAGCCAACTGTTGAATGCAGATAGGTTCTTTTTTTTTTTTTTTGGTACCGGGAGTCGAACTTGGGACCTTCCACTTGTGAGGCAGGCGGCGGAACCACTGAGCTAAATCCCTGGCCCAGCAGATAGGTTCTTAAATGTTAGAAACCACAGGAGTCAGTTCCAAGCTTTAAAACCTTGGTTGCCAATGGTAACTGAGAATGCTTTGAATGAGAATGCCGTGGATGCCAACATGGATGAACTGTTGGATTTGTGTAGTGGAAAGTTTACATCGCAGGCTGAAAAATGTCAACCCAGGAAAAATGACAAGAAAGAGGATATGGAAGAATTTCTGAATCTTTGTTCAAGAAAATTCCCTTCTCAGGATCCCTTCCCTCTGGCTCTGTTGGAGTTGAGCAAGCAGGAGAAGGAGAACAGCATGGGTGACCCAATGGCAGAAGCACTTGCTCTTTGCTCAGGCTCTATCCCAAAAGACAGGAAGGAAGAAGGTGAAGAGGAGGAATTTGGAGACTTTCAGCTCGTTCCACAAAACAATGAGTCCAGCAGCGATGAGGATGAAAATAAGGCATTGGAAGACCATGAAGATGATGATGAATAAGAACTCCTAAAGCAAGCTGAAAAGCTGGAAAGGCAAATGAGATTGAAAAAATACTTGGAGGATGAATCAGAGGTGTCAAGAAGTGAAGACGAGTATGGTGGGGAAGAGATTGATGAATATGAAGAGGACATAATTGATGAAGTTCTTCCTTCTGATAAGGAACTGCAGAGTCAAATCAAGAAAATACACATGTTGCGCAAGGTCCCTAGTTCGATCCCCGGTACCAAAAGAAAAGAAAAAAGAAAAGAAAATACACATCCAAACCACATCGGATGATGATAAACGACAGCTATGCTTATACCAAAAGAGGTACCTTGCTGATGGGGATCTGCTCAACAATGGACCTGGGCAAATGAGGAGATTCCTGTGGAAAAATATAGATGATGCATTATTCCACCAAGACTGTGATGGTGATCAGATTGAAGAACAGCTTGATGAGACAGAAGCCAGATAGAGGAAGGAGCGAATTGAACAGAAGCAGTGGCTTCGGGGCCAGGCACAACAGGAGATTACAGCTGAAGAAGAAAAAGAAATTAGGGAAAGACAGTCAGTTAATGATGCTAGCCAAGAAAGTTACATCCAAAGCACTGAAGAAGAGTGCCAATTGCCCTGCAGTTATCAGGAATCGAAGTGTCTACTCAGTAATGCTTTTGAAGCTATCAGTCCTGGAAGCACTCACCAGCTCAACATAGGCTCACTGCTAAGCCAGCCCAAAGCTGTGCTTCAGAAACTGGCTGCCCTTTCTGATCTCAAATCTCAACCCCAGTGCTCCCTGAAATTCAAGAAACTTTGTCTTTCATACACTTTCTCCTGTCAAGGCTGAGGCAGCAAAGGTATCATCTAAGCCTCAG